GCCCATCTGTAGACAATTGGACATCCCCTCACAGAGGGGTCACAGGGAAGAGATGAGCCAGTCAGGGTGCAGGATGAAAGACACAACTTTCCTCTAATTCTTTGGTACTTCCTTCCCCCTACTATCATGACCTCAATTTTACCTTACTTATTGAATTAGGCCAAAGCATGCACACTGATACAGATAAGAGCCACCCAGGGAATCCAGGATAGATAAACCCCTCAGGACCCACAAGGAGAGTAGAGATACCAGGAGGATTAGGGGAGAGTGGCGGGAGAAAGGGGGAATCGATCACAAGGATTGACACATAACCCCCTCCAAAGGGGACAAACAACGGAAAAGTGGGTGGGGGTGACGGAGGACGATGTAAGATATGAAAATAATAATCTCTAACTTATCAAGAGTTCATGAGGAAGGAGGGCGGGGAAAGAAATGGGGAGCTGATATCAAGGGCTCAAGTGGGAAGAGAATGACTTGAACATGAGGATGGCGGCATATGCGCAAATGTGCTTGACACACTGGATATGTGTGGATTGTGATAAGAGATGTAAGAGCCCCCAGTAAAAGTATTTAATTAAAAAGAAATTAAATTTAAAGATCAGTATTGACAATTCTTCTCACTTTGAAAAAATAACTTTATTTGAATTCAACAACCACCTGCTATTCTATGAAAATTAAACAGTTGATTGCTTTCTTGACTATCTTTAGTGTTATTTTATATCCAAACTTCCAGATTAAAGCAAGAAAATTATACTAAAGTATATCCTAACAAAGAGTGATTGAAGTTTTCCTGGAAGTCCATTTTGAGCTTTGGCCAAAGCTCATTTGACTATCTCTTTTTGCTGATGACATGAGCCAACACATAGAAAACTTCAAAGAACCCAAGAAAGGGTTACTCAAAAAAACCCACTGCCATTGAGTCAGTTCTGACTCATAGTGATCCTATATCGCATTTCCAAGTCTGTCAATCATCTTGGGACCAGACAGCCTCATCTCTCTCCCATGGAATGGCTAGTAGGTTCATACTGCCTACCTTGTGGTTACTAATGCTTCTACCATAGTGCCACCAGGCCTCCTTAAAATAACAAAATACTACGCGAACTATTAAATTCAATGAAGTGGCAGGATATAAGGTCAACAGTCAGGTTTCTATAAATCAGCAATGAGCATTCTAAGAGGAAATTGAAAACCAACTCCAACCACAATAGCATCTAAAAGAGCAAAACACCCAGAATTAACCAAAGTAAAAGACTTATTCATGGAAAACTACAATTTATTACTCAGAGAAAAAAAGCTAAAATGGGACGATATCCTATGTTCATGAATTGGAAGACTTTAATCTTATTAAAATATCAATAGTACCTAAAGCAATCTATACATTCAATGTAATCCCCCTAAAAATTCTGTTTTCTTTGCAGATAGTGGAAAAAAAACAAGCTCAAATTGATATGGAACTGCAAGGGGCCCTGAATAGCCAAAGCAATCTTTCTTTAAAAAAAAATCATTTTATTGGGGGCTTGTACAACTCTTATCACAATCCACACATACATCCATGTGTTAAGCATATTTGTACGTTTGTTCCCATCATCATTCACAAAACATTTTCTTTCTACTTAAGCCCTTGGTATTAGCTCCTCATTCCCCCCCGTCCCCCAAGAACAAAGTAGGACTCACATTTCCCAATCTTAAAATATCTTATAAAGCTAGTTATAAAAACAGCCCAGTATAATGACAGATACACTGACCAAGAAAATGTAAGGGTGACTCAAAAAATATTGCTATAAAAAAATCACAGAAACTTTTATTAGACAAAAATATCAAAATGCGAAGCTCTTATTTTTCAACATTTTGTCCATCTAGGTCTCCACACCCTCTCTAACCCCTCCATAAAGAATTCTGCACTCTTCAAATGACACCAACAAAACCCTGCCTCGTCCAGCCCCATCCTCGCAATCTACCCTATGTGTAAGCCCATGGTTGCAGCCATTTCCTAGACCTTCCTCTTTGTTGTGGATCCTCTGGCTTCATCCAGCCTGATGTCCGTCTCAGGAACTGCGTGAGCCCTCCTGACAGCATATCCACAGTACATGGCTCAGTCTCGTCAGCTTCTCTTCTTTGCAGCATTCAGGCTGTGCGGCTTCTAACACAATTTGTTCTTTGGCCAGTCTATGGTATCTTTAACATCCTTCAAAAACAGCAAAATCCAAAGGCATCAATTCTTCTCCCATCATCCTTATTCACTGTCCAGCTTATACATGCAGATGAAGTGACTGAAATTATCAAGGCCTGAAGCAGGCATATGTTAGTCTTTTTAACACTTTAAGGAGATGTTTTGCAGCAGATATACCCAATGCAATGCATCACAGATTTCCTGACCGCTGCTTCCCTGGGCATTGAGTGTGGATTCAAGGAAAATGAACTCACTGACTTAGATCTTTTCTGTTTATTGTAAGGCTGCTCAGTGACCCACCTGTGAGGGGTAATCCATTTGGAAGGCCACAGCTTCAAGTCCTCTTCCTTTCAGCCAGTAGGGCCATGTCATCTGCACATCACAGGCTGTTACTGAGTCTTTCCCCAATCCCAGTGCCGTAAGTTCTACTTCATAAAGCCCAGTTACAGGGTCACTACGAGTCAGCATCAACTTGATGGCGGTGAGTTTGGTTTGGACTTCTTGCAATATTTGCTCAGCCTATGATTTGGATAACTATGCTTTAAGGATACAACTGACACATACCTGTGGTACAGTGAAATTACTTTAAATGGCTCTTCTACCCAAGTCTCTGTAATGCCTTACCAAAGGACTGGGTGGGACAATGAAAATAGGCATATTGTATAAAACTAGTATAGGTGTGTTAGTCCAGGTAGACTAAAGAAACAAATTCAGAGACATTTGTATGTGTATAGGAAAGAGCTTTACATACTAGAGCAATTGACTATTGAGAAAACATCCCATCCCAGTCCAGATCAAGTCCATAAATCTGATATTAGCCCATATATCCGATACCAATCTATAAATTCCTATTCAGACTCACGCAGTACATGCAATGATGCTGAATACAGGAAGATCTCAGGCCAGTGGGTAGAAAGTCTTGTGGATCCAATGGCGGTGGAAACATCTCAGCACTGGCTGGGGTCTCCGAGTGGCTCCTCCAGCTCTGGGCTCTGGCTGCATCAGCATAGCTCCATCAGGCTCCTTGTCAGTAACGTCTCACAAGGAGTGAGCATGTATTCTGCCTCCAGCGACCTGAGGTCATCCAGCTGCAACCTGATTGACAGACTAAACTCCACCCCTTAACTCTTCAGTTTCAAATTGACAACAGATTGTATAACGAACACAATAGGGATTAGCCAATTTTTGTTACCACCCCTCTGGTTATAAGGATGAGTCAGTTTGGAAAAGCAGAGAAGAAAGAAATCTGAAAGACCTTGAAAGAGCACTTTCAAGATCCCGGTTTGAAGTGGTGGAGACTGCTAAGACCAGAGGCACCACACAGTCACACGGAGACTCAAAAGAGCAGTAGTGGAAGACTACTTTCTCCTCATCTGGCCAAAGACTTTGGAACTATGGAACAGAGTGACAGGCAGACTGGCTTGCTGGCCCATGGAGGCAAAGGGATTATGTGGCTGAGAGACGGAGAACCAGAGAAAGACTTAGCTATCATGTGGTTGAGAGGCTGAGAGCCTGAGAGATTTGTCTGTTGGTTGAAGAGACCAATGACTGTGTCCTGACTGCAGATCCTGACTTGTGGTAATTTATTAACTTCCCTAAGAAACACCTGAAACCATGAGTATTGTCGGTGCGTTCTGTGTGGCCATTGCTGTGAATTATTGAACCCAGCAAAGACGTAGAGTGGTGTCAGAGGAACGAGTGGCATCAGAATAGGTAAAGAAGGGTGGAGTATGGAGGCATGTCTGAACCCTGCCTCATGGCACTAGGGAAGCCAGAGGAGGTCAGATCTGTCCACCTCCATTGCTGTTCATGTACACCTTTCCTGATTTTAACCCACACAGCACCCTCTTGTTCTACTTAAATAATCATTGCCTCTTGGCCTATGCATAGATTCTACAGGAGCACAATAAAGTGTTCTGGAATCCCAATCCTTTGCAGTGTTATGCATAATTTGCTATGATACACAGAGCTGAATGCCTTTGCATAGTCAATGAAGCTCAGATAAACATCTTTATGGTATTCTCTGCTTTCAGCCAAGCTCTATTTGATATCAACAATGGTAGCCTACATTCCTCATGCTCTTCTGAATCATAAGGCATTAAGGAAAGGCAAATTAAAATCACTAAGAGGTCCATGATTGGAAAAAAAAAAAAAGGAAAACAACAGATGATGGTGAGGACATGGAGAAGCCAGAACATTCGTCCATTGCTGGTGGAGCTGTGATGGAATAAACCATTGTGGAAGACAACCGGGAGATTCCTCAAAAAGTTAAGCAGAGTAGGCCATACAACTCAGCAATTCCATCCTAGGGACATACCCCCAAAGAACTGAAAGCAGGGACTCAAACAGGCAGATGAATACCCATGTTCATTGCAGTATGCAGCATAATTTACAAAGCCCCAAGAAGGAAACTACCGTGTAGACTCGAGGATAAGCCAACCTGCATATCAGCCCAGGCACCCAATTTTACCACAAAAACTGCATAAAACAATGCTGAAAAACTTGGCTTATACACGAGTATGTACGGTATCTAAGTGTCCAACGACAGACGGAGTATGATTCTGCCATGAAGAGAAAGGAAGTCCTGATACATACTAAAACCTAGATGACCCTTCAAAACATTATGCTGAGTGAAATAAGTCTGTCACAAAAGGACAAATATTGTATGATTCCACTTATATGAAATATCTACAATAGGTAAATGTATAGAGACCAAAGTTTACTAACAGTTATCAGATGTGGGAGAGAGGAAGGGGAAAGAGGGAGCCATTGATGAAGAGGCGCTCACCTTCTGTCTAGTGTAATGAGAACATTTGTAAACAGATGGGGGTGATGATTGCCTTTCAAACTGAACATAACGAATATTACCAAATTCCCTATAAAGATGCCACTATAATAAATGCTACTATTGATTTCTATATACATACCATGAATCACATGGATAAATTTTTATCCATGTATATGTTTTTAGAATTGGGGTTTGAATAGTAAGCCTAATAAAACTGGTTTCCTCATTTTCACCCAAAGGTTTAGACCTCAAAAAGGTTAAGAAAACACCTATTCTAGTGCATACACTGGTGCATGAAGCTCTCAAATACTCGAGGACAGCTACCTTTATATTTCTAGCACAGCAAATATATTCAGTGATCTAAAATTTAAAGATGAACTAAGAGACCCATTGCATTGATAATCAAAAAGCCACTCAATAAAGATTATCAAAAAGACTTTCTTTGGGATTTTTTTAAATGAATAAAATCTAGTATTCTTAAAATAAATGCTTTCTTGCGATAACTTTATTTTTCAGGAGTCATCTTACAACTACATAGGAGGTCACTTCAGGACTCTACTGGTTGCTGGCCAGCCAGCTCAAACTCCAGGAGACAGGATGAGATCTTGCTACCTCCTGCCCTGTTGATTTATGCTACATAGCAAAGTTTATGCTACATAGCAGTTAGATCAAACAGCGAGATGGAAGGCAACAGCACTGTCCCAAGCCGGCAGTCTATTAGCATTCCATTCCACCATATAAGGTAGCTCCACTCAGCCGCGTACTTCTAGACACTAACATGCTTTTAGCTCGGAGTTAGGAGTCGAGCTCAGTCTCACCTTGGTACACACCACTCTTACAATCACTTTCCACAAGGCAGAGGAATCAGACCCAGGTTGCACTTCAAAGAGAAGATGTTTTTCCTGGCCTGTAGCCACTTTAGCAGTTCTGAAAGGAGACAAAAACATTTATTTGTTAACTTCATAAAAAAATGACACAAGTTTTAACTAACAGTTTAAAACTGAAAAGGACATTTAAAAGGAAACTTGAAAACATCAACAAAAATAAATATCAAAGTATAGCCATTGTAATAACTAGATTAAAACATGAATAAACATACCAACAGAGATCAGAGGATTGATAGATCAAGACTATTACCTCGAGATATCCTTTGAAAGTGGAAATGAAGCCATTCCCAGTGGTCACTTGTCATTCAAATAACAGCCTGGCTTATAAAGTAAAAGACAGTAGCTCTGAGTATTGTAAGCCCCACCCTCCCCAAAGACCAACCATACATTACCAAATGTTCAACATTTACTCAAAAACAAAGATGAGATGCTAAGGAGGGGCAGAGAAGGCAGATTAATGTAAACAGAATGGAAATATTGAGAATACTGATAGACTATAAAAATGTGATCAATGTCATGAAACAATTTATATAAAAATTGTTAAATGGGAACATAATTTGCTGTACAAACTTTCATTGCAAACACAATAAAACATATAAAAAAGGATGCTAATGAATTTCAGACACAGAGATTGATGGAGAGGTGTTGGGCAACCCTATAGGACCAAGTCGAACTGCTCGCTAAGGTTTCCGAGCCCGGAAATCTTTATAGCACACAGCGTCCTCCTTCTCCCTTGGAGCAGCTGCTGATCTTGCCATTGGCAGCACCAGGTATGACTCACTGCACCACCAACAAACAAACATGGATCAAGAATGTTTGAACGTACACATAAGTCCATAACTTTATCTACATACAAGGTTTTTTTTTCATGGTATATTCTTTTTTTAAATCATTTTATTGGGGGCTCATACAACTCTTATCACAATCTATATACACATCAATTGTGTCAAGCACATTTGTACATTTGTTGTCTTCATCATTCTCAAAACATTTGCTCTCCACTTAAGCCCTTGGCATCCGCTCATTTTTCCCCCTCCCTACCCGTTTCCCCCTCCCTCATGAACCCTTGATAATTTACAAATTATCATTTTGTCATATCTTACACTGTCCGACGTCTCCCTTCACTCACCACACGAGGTTTTTAAAGTCAGAAGCCATATTATATCTTAGTGGGCTAAATTTCAAAGAAAGACATTTACCTGGTTTCACTACGACCACTGTGACCAGTCACTGATGACAAATGACGACTGCACCAGCTGTGCATAAAGTGTGAAGAAATCTTGCTCTTGGATGAGTGTTTGAATAACAACACAAACATGCCTCTTGGAAAAATTTTTTGCTTTATAATTTGGGGTTGATTTGAGCAAAACAAATAAATAATTTTAGGATACTTTAATACTGCTTTACTGTTGTCCCCTAGCAGAGTAATTTTAATTTACAGTCACAGGATTCTACTGTAAAATATAACATTTAAAAATGAATTAAGATAGTTCAAAGATGCATGTAGTTAAATAGCATGGCTCCCTTTTATCATTGATTATTACTTTTTGAGCACCAATGGGGTTATCACATCCCACTAAGTAACTTGCAGACAAATCTACGGAAGCTTCACAAATTAACAGCTAGCCCTATGCCAACAATGTCCGCTGGTGAACCAGTCAGCAGTGCCAGTTCCCAGTGGTTTTCCAGCTGCCACGCCCAGCTCCATCCCCATAGTTTAATCTTCCAGCCCTCAGGCAGCTCTGAACATGGGACGCTCTGACACAAAGAAATGGCTTTAAGAACCAAACTGGTCAGCAAAGCCCTGGGCTAAGTCCATAAAAGGAAGGTGTCACCTCCCACTGTGAAATTCAGCAAGAGTCCCTGCTGGACCTTTTCATAAACCAGTGTGTCCTGGATCCTTAGGCCCAAAGACAAATGCCAGACTGAGCTAATCCACATAAATTCTAAAACTCTAAAGGGATGGTAAATGCCACTGAGGATGTTAGGTAGCTAGAGGTAGAAACCTGGGGTTGTCCCTCTACATGCCAAGGCCTACCCCCCTCACCCTTACAGGTAGTTGGAAGGCGATAAAGGGCATGCGCAAATTCAGGCCCTTGAGCCAGGAAGCCAGGGGTGGGCCCCACTCTAAGCAGGGTGGGCTTAATTCAGCCAATGGGGTCAACCAGTACAGTCAACCACGCCTCCCAGCCCAGGGCCCTAAAGACAGAATCCGAAGCCGACCGCCCTCCTTTCCAGCTGCTCCTGCGCAGTACTGTGATTTCTCTGGCCGCAGGCCTCCACGTGTGGGTGTGCAGTGCCCTGAGGGTGCCTGTGTAAAACCTGAAACTTTGTCTGTCCTTTGTAAAAACTCCCTTGGATCACACACCAGACTCCGGTGTGATTCCTTTCATTCTTTCTCTTGTGAAGCCAAGGTATTTCCTGGTATTTCCCAGGGAGGAATCTAACAAGGACTTTTCACAAGAGTTGAAACAAAATAAATAAATAAAAGCACACTCTCCTCTTATGATACTGTTAGCATTTCCAATCCAACTCTACTCTTTAAGTACATGTTCCTAGAAGTAAAGGCTTTAAAAAAACACCGATTGAATGGGTTTTTTTAAGTATGTGAGTTTTTTTTAAACCCATGACTAACATTTTTGTCACATGACACAATACTGAACTGTACAGAATATAAAACTTCCCTTCACTGCCCTCTTGCCCAACAACTCCCCACAAACATAAGCAGAGCCGTCCAATGTATCCATCCAGTTCATTTTCTGTACATTTACACACCTGTTTAAGGAACCCTGGTGGCCCAGAAGGTTAGGCATTGGGCTGCTCACAGAAAGGACAGCATTTGGAGCCCACCCGTTGCTCCATAGAAAGGTAAGGTAGTCTGCTTCCTGAAAGCCTTGCAAACTATGGAAAACTCCAGCTCAGCGCTTCAGGAGTCTGATTTGGAATCAACTTGACAGCAGTGGGTTTGGGCTTTTTATTTTGTTGTTGTTGTTGGTGCTTTGGTTTGTGTATATGCTCACTCATAGAGTTGTGGTTTAAGTGAATAAAATTCACTTTCTTAAAAGAGGAAGAAAGACAGGGCTTTCTCTTCCCATAAAGAGTCACAGCCTGGGAAACGCCCAAGGGCGGTTGGTTCTGGTTCTATCTTATAAGAACCAGCTGCCTTTCGTTTCTTAAAGCCAATTTCCTATGTTGGAGCTGGGCTGTTCCAGGTTCAGGGCTGCCTGAGGGCTGGAAGATTAAACTATGTAAAGGGAGCTGGGCTTGGCAGCTGGAAAACCTCTGGGAACGGGCGCACTGCTGACTGGTTTTCACCAGCAGGCTTGGTGGTATCGGGCTGTTAATTTTGATGGCTCCAGTTGCTTTATCTGTAAGTTACTTAGTTCAGTGCTCAGAAAAAAACACTAATGAATAATAATAAAATAATAGGAGGGAATTGTGATATCCAAGTACATATGCCTTTGAACTGACCTAAATTGGTGTTGATATGATTTTAAAACGGTATTGAATGCGTTTTAAAATGTTATATTTTTACATTAGACTCCTGAGGCTTTTAGTTTTCAAGATGACTAGGTCAGTGGACATCAGTGGATGCCAACTATGTTCATTAAAATAAAGATTTTGTTTCTTATCGAATGTGCTCCAGATTGGCAAGGATGTCTCTTATTGTCTATCACAAGCCTATGGGAGTAGGTCCTTGTATCCTATCCCAAACTATTAATAGTGACCATGACATTGAAAGCAAACAAACTCTGTAGTCCCAGACTGCTTGTGATTGTATTTGGCCTTAAGGAAATGTAATGTGGACTGGCGGACAAAGTGTCAGACTTGGGAGAACTGGTTCTGCCATTAATGCTTGGGGAAGCCTGCTGCTGTGGCTGGGAGACATCAAGTAGAACTAACTGCTTAAGAAGAGTTTTCTTGACAGTAATCTTTATGGGAAGAGACTGCCAGGCCTTTCTCCTAAGGAACAACTGGCTGGCTTTTAGCTACCAACTTTTCAGTCAGCAGCTGATGTGGTAATTGCTTGTGTCCCCAGGGCTACTTGCATCACCAGTTACAGTGTTCATTAGGAAGCTGCATGCCTTGCACAAAGGAAATGCTCAGTGAATATTCTGCCAGCCACGTGGATCGCAGCCCAATGTGTAACCACTCACTACGCTACCAGGGCTCCTCCAGTGAATATTAGCTATAGCCAACAAGAACCTTTGGGATCTAATTACGTGGCAATTCCAAATGAGATGGAAGTGCACCTCCAGGGGGACAGAAGACAGTTAAAAGTGACTTTTATAAATATAGAAAGTGGGTGGCTTAATAGAAAGAAGTAACATTTGCCTTCCTGCCACTAGGTAGAATGCAAACAAGCAAGCAATAATTTATGTAAATGAACACAAGTCTGGGGTCATTTACGGACAGAGGCCCTAACAACATCTCTATGGGTTGGTGCAAAAATTGATGAAAAAAAAAAGACTCCAATTCATAAAGAAAAGGCTAAATTCTGTTAGGTGTGCAGTTCAAGGGGATAAAATGTATATGCTACTTGAGGTAGAGACTTATTTAAAATAATTAAGCAAGGATTTAAAAAGCATAATTAGAAAATACTAATAATGTCTCATTGTTCAGTGATGAAAATGAAGTATTACTATCTCAGTTAGCAAACACACAAGATATTTTTCTAACCAGCTACATTGGTTGGGCTACGGAAAACTTCTTAGTGCTTCCTCTGACCACACCAGGAGCCTTTTTCTAGAGCGACTAGTTGGCAGACTCCCTTCTGCTGCGCCTCTATAGAATGCTTTCAAAGAGGGATCACTTTATAATTCCAGTGTACAATTTATGGATCACAATGGTCCAAACGGAAACCGGCCGTGCTGGGGCAGGACCAGACAGCTTTGTGTTCAGCTGTAGGCTCAACTTAGTGACAGCTAAGTTGTCACTAAACCAAACCAAACCACTGGCATCAAGTGGAATTCTACCCATAGCGACATTATGGAGCAGAGTAGGCTTCTTGAGGGTTCTGAAGTTGTCAATCTTTATGGGAACAGCGATCTCATTTTCCTCCCGTGGAGTGGCTGGTGGGTTGGAACAGTTGACTATGGGGTTAGCAGTTCAACTTGTAAGCCAGCATGCCACCATGGCTCCTGCCAACAACAGCAGCAGTGTACAATGGCTGAGAGGTTGGGTTATATATTTAGAATCACCTCTATATTGGTCTTTCAACTTCAACTTTAATTTCTTTTAACCTCTTCTGTCCACATTACGCATTTAAAAGTTGCTACATAGAATGTCTACTTTTAACAGGTACTCAATAAATATTTGAAGGAAACTGGTTGAAATGAAAAATGTAAAGTTTATTATTAAAGTTAAGTCTTATCAATTAATGTGTCCGACTACCTCTTATACAGCCATATGAGGCACACATGAAGGAAAACAAAATAAGATGAAAAAGAATAAGCCTTACACATCATTAAGTTCAGCTACTCTCCCGAGAAATTCTTCATAAGTTAAAGTGCCACTTTCTCGAACCAATGTGACATGTTTTGCTACTTTTTCTGGTAACTTGTTAATAACCAGCTGCGTTTGATCCGAAATTTGCTGTCCCATGATGAAGTGATGTCTTCCGAAGTGCAGAATGGGTGGTGCTTCATTCACATACTTTCTGTCAAATATACATAAAAGTTACTTTTACTTATAGTATAAAACCAATACATACAATATATTCCCGAAATAAGACCAACAATAAAAGCAACCTGAAAACAAACTAGGTACACCTTTAAGTTCAGTAGATTTACAGGACCCTAAAGCAAAATTGTAAGACATTTTTCAAATATTTATATTTGTGTGTGTGTTTTCAGATTCACATAGCTAAACCAGAAAACAGGACTCACTCATATTGTTGGGAGGGTAATGAATCTCTAATTTCTTTAATTATGCCCAGTAAAAAGCATTAAAAAACAAAAATTTAACTGATTACATTTAAAAGGGAGGTCGTCTACCTAATGTAATATTCCTAAGAACATTTCCTGACCGCTTACCATCTGTCAGGCTCCAACTAAGTGCTTCCCACCTCCAAGGGGGCTTCAAAAGGTTTTTGGGAAATTCTATTACCTTTCAATTCCATTTTCCCCTAAACTTTCTGAAGCCCCTTCATATTACCTCATTTATTTCTTACAATGATTCTAAGTAGTAGTTATAATTCTAGTCCTATCTTAAGATAAGAGCTACAGCTGACGGTTTATCTAAAGTGACACAGTTAGTTGACAAGCTGCAGAAGTAAAATTTGAATTCATGTTTTTCCGATTCAAGTGCTCCCATTCTTAAGCACTATGATAAACTGGCTCAGACAAACTATTATTAAAAAACCATCAATACCAGCTAGCATCACGGCTCATCAAAGAAAAGCGGTTCCAGCCATCATATGAGGGATTAATTAAATGTTTCATCAGTATAACCCTCAAATGATGTTATAAAAATGATGTCAAATGGCCCTTAGCAGAAAATAGCCTCCTCAATCCTATTCTGATGTCATGAAAGACAGAATTCTAAGACTCGTGGCTTGAAAAGAGTTGGATAATTTTTCCTTTGGTGAATAGTTGCTTACCAGAATACAAATTCTTGAGAATATGGTTGAAATGGAAAGTAAGCTAAATTATTTTTGGTAGTTGGCTATGATGGCATATTCCATAAGCAAGTATGAAAATCCCCATTCAACACAAACACTACTGTTAGTAATAGTAGTGGCCGTCGCAAAGTTTTCAGTCACTTCCATTGTGTAAGATGCTCTTCTGAATACTTTCCATGTATTCATGAATCCAGTCACTAAATCCCCGCAGAGACCATTATATAAAGAAAGTAGAGAGCCGAGGACAGATGTGCAGGTAGATAGAGTAATTAGCCTCACCTGAATCTTTAAAAAATAAAGCTAGGAAAAGAAAAAGCATTACAATTTTTAAAAATCTGACACTCCGTACCCAAGAACATCCATTTTTCTTACCCTTTAAAGACGATCATTTATCTCACCCAAATTAACACCCGACACACATATCAAGCAGGTTAAAGAGTAACCATAACTTTTATAGGGAAAGTTTGCCAGCTAACTTGCCTTTTCATTTAATCAACGATTAAAAACTCTAACTAAAATGCAAAACCATTGCATATTTACATTACTACATTTACAATCAGTATTCATCTCAATAACCATAAATATGTAAATCTGGCTTTTAGTATAAAAATCTAATGTACTATCATTTAGGATTATTCTTTTAGCCATCTCAAATGGAGGAGAAGTACAATCGTACTAAAAAAGAAAAACCCAGCAGCCACTGTTTGAATCTCAGCCCACTTGGCAAGAGTAAATGCCACACACCAGAGATAAATGAAGGGAAGTTGTTGAGGAAGATCCAGGCCACTAGAAAAACATCTGTGAGGGGAAAATTATATATTTCAAATACAGTTCACCGATTCATGGCAACTGTATCCAAAGAGAAACAATTACAGACCTTAGGGAGGAGAGGAAGTCTCCAGGGTACTCAACATCAGACTTTTGGATTTCAGACTAGTAAAATGTCAAAGTGATTTGGTGGTGTACATTTCTTTTTAATCTACGGAAGGATGGTTTCCACAAGCAAACAAAGAAACAAATTTAATAAACCATTATTTCATTTTTAAGAGTGCCATTATAACATAAATTAATATGGGATATAATTCCTGAAAAATAGTACTTCCCATGAACATTTATAAGCCTATATGTACATCACCCATTGTCCTTATTTTTCTTATTCTAGTGCAAACTTGTAAAACTGAAAAAGGTTACAGTTTGGTGTTAGGGAGCCATTGTGTTACTAAGACTTTTGAAAAACTAAATTCAGCAAGTACCATGCTCCCAGTGCTGTGATATATTTTAGAGATACACCAGGGAGCCAGAGGAAGAAACAAGGCTCTTGCCCCCCCACAGAGCATCACATAGAGTGGGATGAAACAGTAATCACATTTAAATATATGTAATCACACATAAATATACAATTACAAACTGGAAAGCACCAAGCCTAACAAGTACAGAATGCTACAATAGGCTACAAAAGGGAAGCTTGATTTAGTCTTGTGTCAGAGAAGACAGCCCTGGCCTGGGAGAAACATTGGGTTTAAGACTGGGATTATCAGTGTTATCAAGAGAAGAGGAAGCAGGTGCCTAGTTGGGAAGTCATTCCGGGCAGAAAATAAAGCAAGCACCTAAGACAGAAGAATGCGTAAAGGGCAAAGATGTCACTTGGAAGATCAAAGTGCACCTGGGCCATGCCGTGGCATTTTCAAATGCCTCCGATGCATGTGAAAGCTGGGCAATCAATAAGGAAGGTTAAAGATTTATGCACATGAATTATAGTACTGGCAAAAAACACTGAAAGTACCATGGGACTGCCAAACAGCAAACACATCTGTCTTGGAAGATGTACAGCCATAATGCTCCTTAGGGGCAAGGATGGGAGACTTCCTCGCATGTACATTGGACCTGTTGTTGGTCCCTGGAGATGGACATCATGCTTGGTAGTGGGGCAGTGAAAAAGAGGAACGCCCCCAGCAAGATGGACTGACCCAATGGCTGCAACAGCAGGCTTGAACATAAGAACAATTGTGAGGCTGGCGCAGGCTGGCGCAGGACCAGGCAATATTCCGTCTGTTGTACACAGCTCGCTCTGCGGCGGAACCCACTTCCACAGCACCCAACTACAACAGCCAACACTTTACTCCCCAAGTGAAAAGGAGGAGCTTGTTGGCTTTCTTGTGCCAAACCGACCAAACTGCAGTCCATGTGACTGAAACTTTAAATTATGCCTACACTTAAGAAGGAGCTCTGTGGACATGTTAAGTGATGGCTTGCTAACAGCAAGGTCAGCAATCCACCCATTTCTTTGCCTGAGAAAGTGAGGCAGTAGGTTTCTCTGGAGATTTCAGCTTTGAAAACTCTTAAGAGCAGTTCTACTCTGTCCCAGAGGGTCTCTCTAAGTTGGACTCAATCCATGGCCATGGATTTGGTTTGGGGGCCTGCTCTAGTCACCCGCCATCGACTTCTCAGTGTCCCTTTTCTATGCACATGCTTTAGCTTGGCTCCTAGTACCTGTTGGGTCACTTGATTATCTCTCGGTGAGCTTCGTGGGGGAACCTTGGTGGTGTCGTTGCTTACATACTGCAAGTCAGCAGTCTGAAACCACAGCTGTTCCGGGGGGACAAAGACAAGGCTTTCTCCTTCTGTAAAGAGTTACAGTCTCAGAAATCCACAGAAGCAGTTCTACCCTGCCCTAAAGGGTTGTTAGGGGTCAGAACTGACTCGATTGGAGGGTTATTTCGGTGAGCTTTATGAGGAAAGCAGGGTGTTTTTGCTTCTGGTAAACACAAAGACACACAAAGAATATTTACTGAGTGAATGCAGTTAATGTTATTGACCAGCTTGGGTTTTTAAAATTAGTTCCTTAGTATTCTTCTCACTCTTGTTAATTTGTTCAGTCATCTTCCAGCACTAACTTGGAAAGAATCAAAAGTGAGATAAAAACATACAGAATAAAATATCAATGTTTATATAAACAATTGTTGTTTAGTATTAGCAAAACACCTCCATCTAGATTACAGAGTGGGACCCCTGGGTGATCGGACAGTTAATTGGCTGCTAACCAAAGGGCTGGCGGCTCCAGTGGACCCCAAGGGGACGTGGAAGGTAGACCGATCTGATGATCGACTTCCCTGGACACCAGTCAGGAAGCATCTCAGAAAAGGAAGGTGAGAATGGCCACACAACTCAAGAGAATGCCACCCGCATCCCTGAAGCATGTAGAGCTCATTGAACTGCTGTGCGTTCTTCTGTGTATGTTTTCAACAGCGACAAAAACAAGAGTATAAAATAAACCAAACCTGCCTCTGAGCACTCGGTAGGGCACAGTTCTACTACCACAACCACGATTGTCCTGAGTCGGAGGTGAGACAACACCACCGAAATCGGTAGTTTGGCCTAAGAACATCATTTGCGAACCGCTGGCATGGAATTTAGCAAAAGACGAAACTGTGATTAAGATTTCTCCAAGAACTCCAGTATGGGGAAAAAAACAACAAACCAAACCACTGAGTTTCCAATCCCTACCTAATTTTTCAGTGTCAGTGGTTAGACCTTACCTCCAGGCACCCACAAGTGGCCCTCCAACCTTCAGAATAGCAGTCCAGAAACTCTGCTCAAATATATTTATATGAGGTTGAGGAAATAGATCTATGGGCCTATATTTATAGGTTTAGTATTAAGGTAGCAGAAGGACATTGGGCCTCCACTCAAGTACTCCCTCAATGCAAGAATACTTTCTTCTA